TCACACGATTGGATGCCTCAAATCACATGCCAGTGTTTATCCCCAAATACTCACGTACAGTAATCGAAGCATGAAATAGAAGAACTTAATGCAAATTAGAAACGTCGAATTGGTTATAACATTGCGACTTAAAGGCCCAACAATACTTCGTGGGGGAGGATAGTTTAGGCAAGTCTATGATTCGAATTCCAGATATCAGTGGTTTCACTAGACAACCTACATGATGATTGTATACAACTCCAGGAATCAGGTGAGTCCGTTCCAATTTAGTTTGTTAGTTCTAATACTAATGAGTGCATTCTAGATCTTAAAGAGTTTCCATCTATTGCACAATCGGACAGACATATGATGAACCTAAAGATAAGAGGTACGATTGATCGTAGAAATCTGGATCCTCATTTAAGCCGTGGCGGATGTAATGTTTATATGAACCAATGATTCCTTGGTACTTGATAACTGCTTGATTTTGAATTCCAGATATAATGCATTCGTTCGTGTTCATCTAATGCTTCTAGGTTAAGTTGCGTTGTTTCTGGGATTACTAGTTCATACTATAATTCAAATGCTCTTAAATATCACAGCTATCCACTACTCCTGATGGTATTTTGAGTCTAAATGATCGTGTTGTTATTCCTCCTTCATTGCGTAAATCTATCCTTGGAGATCTTCATAGTGGATATTTAGGTGTTGAGAAGTTCTTGGCAAGACTAACATGTTGGTGACCAGAGATAAATGCAGATATATGTCTTACAGCAAACAATTGTGAAAAATGTCATAAGTTGAAAAGTCAGCCTTCGAAGTGGACTCCATGGCCAGTATCGCCCGAGGCCTAGCAGAGAATTCAATGTAGACTATTGTGGTCCATTTCTTGGCAAATACTATTCACTTGCAGTCACTGATCTTTTTCAAAGTAGCCTGACGTTTTTTTCACAACTATATCAAATTCTGATTTCACAATCCAAGCATTAAGAAATTTTTTAAGTGGAGAAAGGATTTTCATGGTGTTAGTGAATGATAATGGCTCTCATTTCGCAGCGAATGTAGTCACTAGTTGGTTGAATGGTATGGGGTGAAGACATCTTTTCAATGCTCCCAGGAACCTTTGTTCTAATGGTCAGACAGAAAATTTTGTCAAGACATTGAAAATCGCTTTTGATTCTATCGCTGTTTTAACATTTAATGAACTAGAGAGGGGAATATATACATTTCGACTGTAAAATAGAAATTCTAAATATTCTGTAACGGAAGAAACCCCATCAAAACTATTAAGAAGAATGATTCTTCATTCGAATACGAGGTGTTTAGAGTCTGCAGGGGTTACATAATATCGTGGGAATGGTCTTCGAACAACCACAGGGATTGTGGTGAAGAATATCAGGAAATCTACGGTGCAAATTCTAGATATCAATGATTTCATTACAAACAACCGACATGTTGATCAAATACAATTCCATGGACTAAGTGAGTCCACTCAAATTTCACTTGTAAATTCTAATACTAATGAGCATATTCTAGATCATACGGAGTCTGTATCCAATACACAGTCTGACAAACACAAAATGAACTTAAAGAGAGGACGTTCGATTGATTAAAGAAACTTGGGTTCTAATTTAATCTATAGCGGTTGTGGTGTTTGTATGAACTAATGATTCCTTTGTACTTGATATGTGCCTGATTTTGAATTCCAAAAACAATACGTTCATTTAAGCTCGCCTAGTTCTGTCTGGTTTAAATTGCTCTATATCGGAGATTCCTAGTTTGTACTATAATTCAAATACTTTCAGACATCACAATTCTGTTGATGATGATGCATTTTCGATAGTAAGATTTATAGCTATGAGATAAATTTGGTAAAAAAAAACCTTTAGCTTGGTGATATTTTCACTTAGATTAAGGTGACTATAATGCGATATTTCCACAATAATAGTCCTTAAAAACCTAATAAGGTTTCTAAAAACCCCAATATCCTAACAGGTCTCACTACTTTTAGTAAAAACTATCAATGGTTTATACAGACTCTCTCCACATTGATGGGGAGTACTTTTAAGATTTCCTGGTTAGTTTAACGTCACCGTTGGCTTGTCCCTGTTATACGGTCACACCCGTAATTTCTTAAAACGATCTTATGAAAGGTTTATAAGCCATTGTGACGCCTGCACTTCGCTTTAAGGTTCGAGTGGCCTTATCATTTCACAACCTGAAACTTTAGGACTAACAATGTATAACCTGTAGAATAACGAATTTCGCAAAGATACAAACAATATTGAGTCATTCTTATACCTACAGAATCTATGTTGTCAAGACAGTTTTTAGGAGATTCGGGAATACTTTTTACTACCTATTTTATTGTTATTTCTACAATTCAGATCAGTGAAGATATATTCTTACAACTGATCATACTTCTTCACGTTATTGAATTAGATGATATTCAAAGATATCCTGATAAATTTAAGATCAAGAGTATGGAATATTCTCTAATATAACTCTGTCACACAAACTGAAAATGCACAATTGTTAAACTTTCAAAGACAACTATATAAACCTGCAACAGAACAACTATAAAATATTTGTTTAAGGTTACAAAATGAGTTAGTATGACACCTTACTGGCAGTTTTATATCCCTTGACTTTTGTCCGAATGAATCAACAGTCGATTGTTTCCGAAATTGAAATTCAGTCCACATACAATTCCTTTCTCATTCTAAGAAATGGAATCAGTTGAATGAAATCAGATTGTCATTAAAACTTTAGTTTACAGTCTCGTTCGTCCCATATGCTTCAGCTAGATTGATTGAATAAATTTGTATCGTTTCAAGGTCAAAATATTGGCCTATCAAGATAGATTTAAATGCTAAACAGTATAAATTAAAATGCTAGACAGTCAATACAAATCTATTTCTCAGAAAGCATGACATACGGATCAATATGTCCAAGGTCATTGCTCGTCTTTAAACTAGAGCAAGACAGTCATATTGCCTGTATTAATTAATAGTTTAGTATACCTCAATATGGCGGTGATCGATCAGTCGTCATTCTTGGAATCCGTATTTCATTATTTATGTGAGTTACCATTACTAAATAGAATTCCAAAACCGAGGGAGTACCCGTAGCGTCAAAATTTAAACCACCAAGAAATTGAAACTGAAACGGGCGCATAGTTAATTTGAAACGTCATAAAAGTTCAGCTGTTGTATGCCATACTATTGAAATTCTTGAAACTTTACATTATATCACTTCAAGTGAAACGGAATTCAGTGTTAAACTCTTCTGGTGACAGTGAAACAACGGAGACATGTGTAGTAACTTAGATTTCTGCTAGTCGGAACTTGGTTTGAATTGCAGACAATAATGTCCTGGTATATTCTTCTTAAACATTCACATTAGATTTACATTAAGCCTGAGTTCTTTCGCTATCTACACTAAGACGTTTTAGTTGATAGAATAGGCATGTAAATTTCGAGATATTTAACAGCAATAGAGAGCTAAAATAGGTTTAATGCAATGACTGGTGGGCGTCTATCCTCAGTTTATTTATCAGCATACTGAAATCCATCACTACATCAAGTGTATTAGTTACGTCCTAGATGTATGACTCCAAGTATGACACGTACATACACTATTCCTTTATCCTAGAATATCTTTTAAACCAGATGGTGATATTCCAATCATAACTCACTCTAACAAAAGAATAACTCGCAATGTGATCGGGGTTAGTATTTCTGTTAGCACATCGGACGACATGGCTTTCGACTAGGCTGAAGAGCACTCAGAGAACTGGAGGGAGGGAAAATAATATTTTCAACCGTTGCCTGTGAAAACAAAGTCTAAACTTACTTAAAATTCAAAAAAATGCATTCAAAATTACACAAGACAAAGCTAGTACGAGTGTTATTGACTTGGGCGGAATCAATCGTTGTAAATCTTCAACTTATTTGTAATGCGCGTTCAGAAGCCTGTGATTGGTTTATATAGTTGCTCAAGGTCAAAAGGCTGATGTATGGAACCAATTGACATCCACTCTACTTTTAATACTATTTGTTACTATCAGTTTATGAGAAAATATATCACGACAATGGTGTCCAGATTAATGTACCTATAGCGTGCGATTATTAGGTTCATACATGAGTTGAGTTACTGCTACAATGTTGTCGCTAAATTTTATATTCACTCAGAGGATGTGCAAACAGACCACTACTTTGTTCCCAGAATATACAACAGACAACCTGGATCTCTGGATTATGCGTTTCCACTTCGCTGATGTGTGTGAGATCTGGTATTAAATATTCAACAAACTGCTATGACTTTGATTTATTGGGAAGATGAGCTTCCGTTACGAATACGAAAGATCTTTATGTGCTCAATAGCGGAGTTAGTGGTGTGAACAGTTTCACATAGAAAAGGCTAGGTACACAAAACCTAAACACATAGAGTGCTTTCTCTGCTTGTAGAAAATAGTCTCTGACGAGAGAGGTCTAACTAGAACTACCTAGTTCCTGTAGCATATGTTCTTCTCAAACAGATTAGTACCACCTCGAATTACCGAGGAACCTAGCAATCCTAACACATCCAACCAAAGAGGTCCCATCAAAATGCGAACCAGCTGGCAGATATCAGGAGTGTTAACCAACCACAAATACAGTCAGAACAGCAACAAGCCCAAGAATAAATTATTTGAAAATGTATTCAGGGAGTTGAATTAGAAAAATTGTAGCTTGTGATGGTACGTACTGTTTAATAGAATTTACTAGTTGTAGGCTACATGGTATGATGTAAAGTGCGCGCCACATATTTTTTGACAAATATCGTTTATGAAACGATGAGCAATAATACCCTCCTTCATGATTATCTGTGGTCTGAAATAGAGTAGAATTTCGATATCGAGACTTCCTGGACATTACAAGAAAGTGAGAATCATTGGGTGGATGTTACTGATTACGGTCACAGTTAACTTTTTCGTGAAGACGTTTTCCGAATGGCCTATCAAACAACCACGATGAATCCCTCTGGTCACATCACCATATTTTTACCAGAAAACCACCACATAGGCCGCCTCTACCCATACAGCCCATCGATAAAATGGTTGTTTTGCGAGTTACTTTCCTTTTTACCGTATGCAGATGGTTTGAGAACTTAAAATTTGACGGTACTCAGTACTTCGTAGTGTTAAGGAATCTTGCTCAGAGTTCTAGGATTAGTATGCATCAGCCATGAAAGTAAGTTGCATCACGGCAAATGACATGAAATTTTAGATCAAAAATGTGATAAGATGTCCCTTCACACAAGGAGGTACATGTGTCACTTCAGTTTGATACTTTCCTATTTCAACCAAACTATTGAACATATCACACTAGGTGCGAAGTATAACTTGCCAGTAGCTGGACACTTAGTGGTAGTAAATTATCAGGGAGCTTAGTTATTAAGAGCCATACAACTACCCAGACGACGTGACAGCCATTAGTTAACTAACCTTACAGGACTACTCAGTGAGGATAAAGCGTCACAGCAGTCCCACTTGATAAACTAAAGGTTGAACACATTAGATTCGCATAGAACTGCCTTAGCGCTATCACAGAAATTTTAGTATTTACCATTTTGTGGAATAATGCGGAATTCTCGTGATGCACAAATTAGTTGTAGCAACTTACAATGCTCTTATCCCGTAAATAACCACGCAACAATACTGGAGATTAGTACTCTGACTGCATTTAAGAATATCATCTGAGTTGGAAAACAGAGATTCAATCTCAGTGAATATGAATTTGACTGTTCGAATATGTATATTATGTACATTGTAGTGAGTGTTGTTTTAAGGAGAATGTAAAGATCATGAGAACAGCAGCGGAAGCCACATCCCCTAAACATTCAGAGTAAACACAAATAAGGTGTTAAGTATGTGCATAATGACGCTAAGAATCCACCATTGAAACCTACAACAAAGAAACAGTAGACTCAATTGTACATCGGAACACTGAACCGCGAAATAATATTCTCCAGGTTAATTTCCAATACCTGAAAACAAAAGGCATGCTCTTTCACTTTGATACATATTTAATCTAGATTACAAAATATTAAAGTATATAACTGAGGGAAAATCAATTTAGGGCTAAAGTCCCTGAATACAAAGAAAAGAAAATTTACATACATACATACATACATCCTGACATGGATGAAAACTGTACAGACCTATTGTTACTGGGCAAATGCGATTAAAACAAGAAAAAAAAGATACACATATCTTCATTTGCAAAAAGAAATATTTTAAAGGGGGACATTCATCAAATCCCCAAGGTGATTGACAATTCCTTGAAGCTTTTCAACTGACATAAGCATTTACAACATTTGACCATGCGCTATATCGACGTAATCGATCAACTGACCTAACAATAAAATAATACATATTATTCGCTTGAACATGAGTTAATGTACATGCCATAGGCAAAGGTAAAGCGGCTACTTCACCAACCTGAAGATATTCAGAAAAAAAAAGAAACAAACGAAAAGTAGAGTATATGATACATTTATGAAATCATCACAAATAAATACACAGATACATATGTTTTCAACTACTAACCTCGTGTAACCAAGTACAGCGTTTTGTTTTGAAGACAACAACAACAGCAACACCTAAACATTCGATTTTATCGAACATTGTTTGAATTGCGGGATAATTGGAATAGCTCATTTCTTTTCTTTTTATAAGTATATACTGATGATGTTGTCTCAGTCAGTTACAACGTAGAACTTCGTACGTACGTACATCAGTTCGAGTTGCCATACAACATTAGCATAGACATGCAGTTGTCGATTCAAATCCCATAATGGTAGAAGTAGTAAGAGTATAAGCAGTAATCCGAAAGACTAGGGTTTAAAGATGTCATTCAAGGAGTATAATACAATGAAATAAACTTGGAAAGAGAAAAAGGATAGTAACATGAAGAATTCAGATTAGAATTTGGGAGAACACAAAGAGCGGATGGACCTTCGTCATTGCAAACGATTTTGAGCCATGTCATTCAAGGTCTCTAAACATCGATTGCTATCATCTCGCGAGTCCCAACCAGGTAGTCTACACCTACCAACATGGCTCAGTCCACTTGTCACTGACTTCATGGATTTGTGGTGCTGTCTAGAATGATAATGAAAGTTTCACAACTAAACCAACTAGTTAAGAGAACATAACACGTACCAAACCTTTATTCTGAGCTAAAAATATTCGTTATCATTGTCAGAATACATTATTATGATGAATGTCTAAGATAGATTTCCAACATTTCTGATGTTATTCTAGTATATTTTTCGACGTTTATCTACCTGAAGTAGTTTAACCTCTTTCATATCAAAGTACATACTTTACCATCTAATGTTCTTAAGAATATTCTTTAGTCTACGTTGAACAACTCTCTCTCTCTTTTTTGTCTATGGCGTTTGTCTATGGTCATAAATGATTATTTCTTTATATTACCAAAACAAATGGATAATAAACTAGTCGAAGAACTTATCAGAAAACACTGTATCAGATAATATATATATAAAACAGTATGTAAGTTTACATGGAATATATGAGGAATGAATTCAAAGGAAGAGTATACATATATATTCTATGAAGGTCAGTAGAAAGAAGAGAACAGTACAGTGTTGTGTAAAATATACAACCAGGGGGGGGGCAATAATACATGTATATATATTGTGACCCCTTCATTTTATCATTATTATTATTATTACTACTAATATACACACCTTTTTCCATGGTAATGATGTTTGAACAGTAACTAAATTAACTTCAGATGAAGCATAACTATAAATTTCATAAGAAATAGCTGGTTCAAATGATCCAATTGGATATGTAATAGACCATTGTAAACAAACTCCTAGAAAAAAAAGAGTAAAATGAAACAGGATTTATGTTAGTATTATTTATTTATTTATTTAAACACATAAATATTGGTACAAAGGGGTACCACATATATATGGGCCACACAAAACTTAATTGATCTGTGTGAGGGCTGTGATACTGCTCAGGTGCCCAAACTGAAACAGGTGGTTTTCTTAGGGGGCCACACCCGGAACATTTGACCTAAAGGTCTAATCCACAAGGTAGTGGAGCATCGTAAGGATATGCAGTCCCATAGTAGCCACTGACCAACAATTGGTTCATACGCCATTTGTTCCTTCAGGATACTGCAGTCCATGTGCACTAGTGGTTTGGAATCAGGGTTTTCCAACTCCTCTAGGTGAACTTTCCGTGTCCATCAACCCGGTTAAAGCGCCTTACATTCTCTTTTTGTCCTCTCAATTTCATAAACAACTTAAATTATTTTACTCTAAATCTTGAGCACTAGCTTTCCTTCATACATGAATTGCTTTTCTATATCAAATTTTCAAGTGTCTAATTATTCCGTTATTATCATTGCTACTACAAGTATTTCAATATATTTGTTATTCATCTCATCAGTCATGCCACCAAAAACACCAGTGGCAAACACAACTGTTATACGAAACTTTTGACTGCTTCTAACAGTTCACCAAAAAGAGCGAATGTAGACACGAGGCTCCTACCAATCTGGCAAAAACACCGTGTATTTAAAAAGTGTAAAATACATTCTGTATTAACAAACACAAATGGGCGACTAATTGCGATCTGGATAGATGGTGTGCCATTGTATAGTAAGACATCATCCGCACACTTAAGGTTGGAAAGTTTTTCTCCACGTAACAGATCCACATCACCATTATCTACTTCTATCAGAGCTATCTCCAGAATGTAATTGATGGCAAAGTTGAAGTGGAGTGATGAGGTTGAGGAATACTTCCGAACCACACCGCTTGAACGTGACATTCGACAGAGGTGAGTGTACACCTTCACTCCACCTGAGGTATTTGTATACCGAACCTTCAGAATGTTAGTAGATTTTTCAGGTACACTCTTGTTAAACAGACAATCCCAGAGAACAGTTCTGTCCAAAGAATCGAAGGCAGCCCTGATATTAAAAACCACACCTACTGTTGTTCTACAATAAGTGTTTTAAGTATAGATGTGATTAACACGTCCGCGACCTTATAGAGAACTAAACTGCCCCTTGGGAGTCATAAACCGCATATTTTTCAAAAATATAGTACAAAACAGTAAAAGCGTGATTCCTTACTCTTAATCGATAAACAGAATATTTGATTTCTCATTCAATGTGAAAAAATAATATTTACTTGTATTAATAATAAATATATTTTTGTGATATCCCAATAAGTAGATTATATTTCCGACGTTTCGTGACTTAATATAAGCCACTTCTTCAGAGTAAACCCACTTCTGTTGTGTACATTTATCAGAACTCTTGACAGATTCAGACTTAGTTTATGGCTCAGCATTGCGCATCCACGATCCCGCACTCGCGAGATTCGAACCCAGGACCTACCAGTCTCGCGCCAGAGCACTTAACCGATAGACCACTTGAGCCGGCCGATTACCACGACGCGCTATGCTGACTAGTTTAGGGGATGGTTGGAATAGAGCCAGGGGCGATCAAACCAAAACATGGCATCAGTGCTTGAAGTCACTAACTTCTAGTCTGAGCCATGTTGGCAGATGCAGACTACCTGGTTGGGGTCTGTGTGACTATCGTAACCAATGGTTGGAGACTCTAGGTGACATGGCTCAGAATCGATCACAATGGCGTAGGTGTATACACTCTTTATGTTCCCTTAAACCTTGAGATTAAAATTGCTTCATAACTTTTTTTCCTTCCTATACTATATCCTTATTTACAACCTTCCTTTATATACTACCACCACTAAATTAATTACTTCTATGAATCCGGTGTTCATCTTGTTGTGCTAACGAGGTATGGCAACTTGTACCAATGCATATATGCGCCTGGTCCTACGCTGTGACTGACTGACTGACTGTGTAGTTTATAGGGTAACTTTCCAGCATTTGTAAAGTTTTCATTTCCTTTTTTTCTACATAAATACTCTTATTGCTGGTCTAAATGAATTTATGAAGTGTATTCTCTTGAAAATTTCAAAGAATAAATATGAAAAATTAACATAAATAAGCATAGTATGCATATTGCTCTTTGCAACTCAACATCTAAACCTGAAGGGGTTTATTTTCAAAAGAAATAAACTAATTACAGGAAAAAACTACAGAATAATGTATGTTTATCACAGTACAGATTAACTAACCTTCAGCTGCTTCCGCGATAGTTAGCTGAGGAACAGGTTGCAATGGAAGATGGTTGATATTAGTTACTGGTTGTGTTGGAACTGGAGGTAGTAAAGCAACAGGAAGTAGATGAACATCAGGAATAACAGAGTATGGTAGAGAATTAGTCATCTGATTAGTAGTTATATTCTGAGCTTGAGATAAAGATACCAAGTCCATATATGATTGCTTTGAATTCACATTATCAATACCGCTACCATTGTCAAATGTGAATGAAGGCGGAACATTTATTGCGGAAATAATCCCGTTTTGTAAATCTTAATATGAATAGACAAAACATTTTTAATGTAGAATCAAAAAAGTACTCCGAAAAATATTTATAAAAACGCGAAGTAAATGATTAAATAATAAGGCATGTTGAACAATTTACCAACCCTGAGAATCTCATTAGCCCTAGTAGGTTGGTCTCTAATAAGACTTAAGCATGGGTCTAGAAGAATCATTCGAAATTTACTAATCTTCATCGCTTGTAGAACAGGCAAGTAGCCTGTCTGTCAACTAAGGGGAGAAGTATCTTGAGCAATAGTCCGATCTGTATTACAATATTGACGAGAAAAATGGGCTATGAAAACATATGTGCCTGGACTTTAAGTATTTTATTGTAGTACGTTTGAAACCCTACGCTATCGATTTGTTTTGATTATTAGATTGTCTTGATCTCACCAATGTGTTATTTCTGATTGTTGTCAATTGTTTTCATTTTTAAATGTAAATGCATCCTATGTGTTTACTGAGTCATCGGCTCAGTTTTTCTTTTCTCTTCCGGATAATCGCACTTACTGCTCCTAACAATCCACCAGAACATGAGGTACCTTCAGGATAGACGCAAACCCCCAAAGGCTGAACGCTACATTATCATTAGCGTTTACAAAGCATTGTTTTCAGACGGTGCACCGAGTGACGCTAAGTATTGATGCAGGGTACTAAGTAGAAAGAGCAAGTCGACTAATCGGAAACAAAGCTTCAACTGAAATGGTTAGGATATATATTACTTGTGCCTAACTAACGTCTACCCTGATGTACAAAGCTGATTTAGAAGGTTAGGAAAAAAATATACAAGTGGCTAAACCAAGAAAAGGCAACAGTCCATGAAGCATTTGACCAGTGGTCTGAGTTGTACTGTCAGGTGCATACTGCATAGTCGAAACTGATGCTATGCCCGTAATCAATAGTTAGAGACGCTAGGTAACAAGATGTAAAATAGATTATGGTTTAGGAGTTGCATTCATTTTGTACCTTCTGTTAAAACTTGAGTGCCACTATAATAAAAAGCTAACAATGGTTGGCCTTACAAGTTACACAACTATTTTGAATTATCGATTTACAGGCCCAACAGTAAAGTTTAGAGGTAGGGAGTTAAAACTATAAGAATAAATAACCACAAAAAGATATTTTGTAACTGGTTTCAAAATGTCCTTCGGGTTACAAGTCGGACTTCAATTTATTTCCAAGTCCCCCAATGAGAAATATCTTTCCAATACATTGATCGCTATGATTTACTTATTGATTCAATACACATAAATAATGGTACAACTGGGTAGAGTACCAAAATAAGTATGCACCATAGAAATAAGGAAAGGAGATTGTGAATAGATAGAGGAAATATGGGGAGTATAATCAAAAACAAATAAAAGAATGAAAACAAGTGTGCGAAAATAGTGTACAATGAGAGTCCCCTCTGTTGTTTACATGAATATAAAAGAAAAATTACACCAGGACCTCCGCCAGCTCCTGTTTTAAGCCATGTCTGATAATATTTCAAGCCAATGAGTTGTATCAGACAGGAAATCTTAATGGACCAACAGACACTAGTCTTACATAGCTTTACTCCGTACGACAGCATTATGCCATAAAATGACCGCCTCTTCACCCAGTCCCAGCATTGATAATCAATGCACGACATGGACGTCACTGGGATGACAGTCGTCTGACCCAGCGAAGTCAGTGTTTTAAGATGATGATACTAATTGAATTGTTGTCATTGTGACCAAACACACATTGATGAACCTCAGCATCATTAGTATGTCGCTTCCACTGAATGTCAACAAACTTTTGGAGACAACAATGATCGAACAGAGTAGTCACACGCTTCCAACCTGGGGAGGTCAGGGTTTGAAAGCCCAGAGCAGAATTGTTTTAACCAATGTAGTGCACACTCTACCTTTTACAGTCAGACTAATATCACGACGGAGCCCAGACTATCATAAGCCGATATGGCTTTAATTATAATTAGATGGACCTTATCAGTCACTCTACTATCAGCACTTACACAACTACTCAGATAAATAAACTTCTCCGATTACTTTGAAATTTTCTTCAGTTCGACGACAGAGCTGAAAAAACATTGTTACTGAAGTACAGATATAAGTATCATCCATAGGATAAATTTCAGATAAGGTTTATGGTTGAAGATGAAATTAAGAGTAAAATAATGCAGAATGAATAAAATCATATGCTTGTACATACTTGAAAGGGGTGTGGCACTGTGCTTATTTATTTTCTTCGTATTTGTTGAACCAGAAACCAAATGTTCTTCCCAAGCATTTTCTATATTAGTGTCTGATGTTAGGTCAATAGTATCATTGACCTGGATAGCTAAAACTGTACCTGATGCAGTTTGAGGAGGAACACACTGAATTTCGAAAGTTTTTGGTAAAACAGATACTAATCTAGATGAAACAGAATTAGATGAAGTTAGATTCGGCTGTCGATTCAAAGGATTCACTGTTTGCATAGATCGATCTGGTGCGGATACCAAAGGAGAATGAGATGATAAAGGTAAACGGGGAGCTTGAGAAGAAAGAGTTCTCGACTGACCAATACCATCTGTTGGAGCAGGCAAAGGAATCTATCAGAAGAATCACGAGAAACACGAAAAAAATCAGACGGTTAGTTACTTCATAGCACTATCTGTCAGCATGTTTCAACAATAACATAAAGTAACTGAGAATACGACTTACTCGCTCATTAATCAATTTTGTCAAGTCTTTTGACGAAGATTCAATGAAATCCATTCGACCTGTTAATTGACTTATTTCTTCCTTTAAACCAGTTACCGTTTTTTCTGTTGTCTCAATAAAAGATATATATTTGGACAATTTCTCTTTTAGAGCAAGTTTTAATTTTGAATCAAAACAGAGACGGACTTTTTTAAACTCCTCTTGTAGTTCTGGCAAGCTTTTAAAGTTGCATAGGTTGTAACCATCCTTGAAACCATTATTCAATGTACAAATAGTATCTTGCTGTTCAAATAACCTAGGTTTTTTAACTGACGGACCTTGAGTACATGGATCACAGTCATTATGATTTTCAACAATTACATCATTCAACAGAGTGCAATCCGAATTAGGAATAGGTGTATTCTGTGTATTGTTGAAAGAATCTGTTACATCTGCGTTACAGGACAGATCTGACATGACAAATAATCCACTTAAGCATAAGTAAATGAGACCTACAATAAGATGGAAAAAAACAAAGGAGTGAAGACCCAGAAAAAAAGCATATCAGAACATACCCTATTTATTATCTGACAATTATCATAATTATATTTATTGAATCTAATTTATTAGTCCCCAACTTTGTGAATTAAAAAACTAATGTTTAATTTAAATAGGAAGCAAAATATTCTTTATATTTTGTACACGTACTACCATTTATGTACAACAAGTCACTTCTAAGCATAGTAGAACCTAGAACATATGCGCATGGGTTCACGTTGCTGCACCCAACTAACACAGCAAGATGAAACCATCAACACAAATGGCAGAATAGTAGATGTAATAACAGTAGTAATGTTCATAGGAAAGGTTAGGTGTACACAATATGATATTCAAGAAGAATAACGACACCTAAAAACTATTCTCTCACTCGTTCATATTATCTTATAATAGTAGATATTTCGATTGACTAATATTATTCGTAATTATTTACATATTTAGCTGTAGTGTAGGGTCAGCAAACTGGTAAAAAGAAGTTTCAGGAACGTGTCACAGAACCATGTTCGATATGAAACTGATTAGCAAATGGAACTTCCACTAGTAACTAACTTATAAATTAAAGGCTTACATGATTAATCGGGTTGCAATTTTTAGTATTAAGGTTATTGATACTATCTGGTTGTCCAAATCGAAGTAGATATAGTGTGGTTCGAACGTGAAACCGAATGGTTGAGCCGATTGTTTTGACTGCTAAATTATCACTCCGAGAAATCCCCACGATTTTATATCGATATACATGAGGCTTCATTTACAATATTACATGCAGACAACCATCCTATGATTCCAAGGGGAAAGTCAGTACTTCGGAACACTTCTAAACGGTAGACAAAGCTGATGGTAGGATTTTCCAACAACTATTGCAAGGAAAGATTACAGACGTTAGCCACACTTACTTAAACTTACCATTAGAAAGATAGTGGTCGTATATTAGCTTCTTGTTTACGTCAGAGCTTTCTATGTAAGCGGTTGTCTTGGATACCATTAAGGTAAAGTCTAATACTAACATGGATTTTCATTTTATCTAGTAGTAATCGGTTAGTGATTAAAACACCCATATCAAAAAACGTCAAAGGCAGGAAGTATCACTACTGATCAAGCAAAGTACCACCTATTCATGTGAACAAATCACCCATCGCGTAATTCAACTATACTAAATTTAAAAGACAGCATTTTACTAGCATATGTGATATCTGCTTTTAAAAGACACGTTTATCCAAAGTGCTCTTTTTTTACTAGGCACTGACGGGTCACATTAACCTATTATCTGTACAATTGAATGACCCGAAAGTCAATTAAACACCGAAATCCCAAGATTAAACGTCTGCATACACTGGTGGATAATATTTGTTGGTTGACAGCTTTCTATAACAAATTAATTTACTGTCTATCTAACAAGTGAAGAGTGATCTATGGATGGGGGAAAAACTACAAAGTGGGGATTCATTTTGGAAAGGATGGAGTATTGGATGACCTGTGTTAGTCCAGAATATAGAAAACGCTCAAGTGACCCAACCTCACATCAAATAAGTTTACGAAAGGAAGATGTAAATACATGTTGATCCAATGAGTTGTGCTCCATATTATAAGCGTTCAGTTATAAGAGTGAAATATCAGAAATATATTACACACAACCTGTTAAAATGAACCAAGAAATACTCAACATTCCAGTTACGAATGCGACTAAGTTGTTTAAAGTGGAAAGAATAGACTCCGTCTTGGACAAAAGATTAGTTCAGGCTGTCATGGTACGGTGTCTCAGTCGTAAACAGGTTGGTCAAGCCCTATCTAGTGAAGCCGGTTGGCTTTTCTAGAAATCGCCTTCGTCTCCCAATGCTCACAAACTCACCGCGTGAATGTGGTAACGTGGGAAATTATACTATCATCGTAATAACTCAACTCTAGAGTGACATTTATACTTGGAAAGATATGGGTTTTAAGTAATAAAATGTTTACTCTCAGCAACTAAGAATCAAGACACTTGTCTCGACTGAAATATGATCAATTACATAACATAAAGATCAACACTGAGCATTGCCTTATCAGTTTGAAACAAGTCATAGCATAGATTCCAATCACTGAGTCAGTCAGTCAGCGACAACGTAGGACCAGGCACATTTATGCATCGGTACAAGTTGCCATAACTCGTTAGCACAACAAGATGAACACCGGATTCATAGAAGTAATTAATTTAGTGGTGGTAGTATATAAAGGAAGGTTGTAAATAAGGATATAGTATAGGAAGGAAAAAGTTATGAAGCAATTTTAATCTCAAGGTTTAAGGGAACATAAAGAGTGTATACACCTGCGCCATTGTGATCGATTCTCATTCATGTCACCTAGAGTCTCCAACCATTGGTTACGATAGTCACACGGACCACAACCAACTAGTCTGCATCTACCAAAATGACTCGTACTAGAAGTTAGTGACTTCAAGCACTGATTCCATGTTTTAGTTTGGCCGCCCTTAACTTTCTTCCAACCATCTCCTATATTATTCAGCATAGTGCGTCGTGGTAATCGATGTTCAGGCATACGTAACACGTGGCCCAACCATCTCAGTCCAATCACTGACAAACGACACAGCGTATGTATAGGTTTACGTAGCTTGTCTTTGGAATAACATATTCTTGGTATGCAACGTCTGGTTTAAAACAGAAACTTTAATATAATTGTATGCGTGTCCTTGTTCATGAATCATTATTTCAAAATATGCAGTGAAATACTGAGGTAGTGAATCTTGGATAGAACAGTTAGGACATGGACATTTCCTCACTTCAATTTTTTGTGAGTCAGAACACTTCAACAATCTTGATGTCATCCAGATTCAGTATGTACGAGGTTTACATGACAGGTACAATTGGTACTTAGAAACACTGGTTCCGAAATACTTCTCTTCCTTACAAATGCGGCCCGTTACACAGTGACAATGTTAACTGAGATTTTTGTGTATTCGGTTAGCTATTATGAGCCACGATCACAATCATATTTGGAGCCAAATACTTTACCTAGTAAATAGCGTCTGAATTTACTCCCCAAGATAATCAACTGAGTGCGTAATGTTGCGCATCTAGGGAAATGATATGTCTGACCACCTGAATCATTGTTTGATAGACGAAGACGGTGAATGTGACTAATCCAGAGCAATACTTCTGTAAATCACGTGTCATACAAGGAAGAAGTCTGAGTTACATAAATTGATAGATTATACACACCACATTTGGGTAAATATTTGTTGGACTAAGTCAATAATGTAAGTTGGATGTTCTCTTGGGAGGAAGTAGAATTCTGTGTGAAACTAAGTGAGCTAACCACGCCTCGGAGATGCTCACCTTCAAGCACTGACCGGATGCTAATGTTCAACGTACAGTTCCGAGGAGGTTAATATATATAGAAACCCAAACATTTGGGATCAGAAACAAGTCATGTTATCATTTTGTTCGAACAATCCGCCCAAGAACATGTTAAGGAAATTAACGGTTGTCCTGACCACAGCAATGCGAAATGTAGCGAATTTATTGAGTATCGTGATACATAAACAAAGATTTAGGACGTATAACATTCGATACAACGACGGATTAAAGTCCGACATACTAAACTTTTAAAGACGATTGCCACAAAGAATATACTGTCTATGGTACAAAAGATATTCAGATATCTTCTCTTAAGAAAATATGCAATCATAATTTCACAGAATGTGTAACCGAACAATACACAGCTGTGAAGCACATATCAAAACAAACTATAACATACCGGCGACGCAGTACACATAACCCTGCTTAGTGCAGCAGTGGACAAGTTGTGGATGATTAGTTTGATACAACACGAAAGAGCATAACCATAATGCAGCATCCCACACTAATCAGCTTATCTTGTTTGGAGCACTTTAAAACAGCGGGAGTCTTGAATGGTCAGTCAATAGTTGGGACACGGACACAATAATTATAAATCACTTTGCGGGATTAGTTTGTTTAAATGAACTACGTAGTGGTAGCAACCGAAGTGATCAAGGTGCCGTGGTGTGACAAGGGGAATGGCAAGACACATACATGTAGTTAAGGTTTCTAAGGCATAAATTGACGACAGATAAGGCTCTTAGGGATTATGTAAAGCACCTTCAAGGTCGTCAGTAAATCCAGTAACCTTGACGTCATGCTGTGGTTACTTTGATTTACAGATGCCTGCCAGTAATGCAGTGTTCTCAATAAGTCTTCGTTACTTTCAAGTTTATGTAGAGTGATCAAATATAACGGCTGCGTACTTACGATGTTGAGCACAGAGTTTATAATTGCATAAGGCGGTATCACAAAGTCAAACAAAAAGTATTCTGTTGATTCTCTATAATGACTAAATATCTTGTCCGGAAACAGTATAGTATTCGTCATTGAAGTGTTTAGCTTGAAGTTCAACTTTCTTATATTTTTGTGGTTATTCGACTGGGTCGTTCACTGTACCCTGCGCGCGCTTCACGAACGGAAAGTTTAATTCAAACATGAATTGTATTCCTCAAACTTCTGCTGTGTTCTTACGTAGCAAAAGCACCATTTTGATCCAAAGAATCTGTCCTGAGCTTAACGTTCGCCAAATTACTTTTCTATTCGAGTTTTACCTAAGTTAATAGTTGACTGTTTTTTTTCTCAGCTTACCACTCAGTTCTTTCGGTGTACCCTAACCTTTTGTACAACCGGTTTTTACTCCTTTCATTCGTTTTGGGTGTATTATTTTTTATTTTACAATCTTAAGCCTTTACTAGAACCTATTAAGCAACTCGCATCACCATAGTCATGAAGAACTCATGGTTTTTTGCTGTCCACTGTGGTATGTAGTGTGACAAAAGCAAAGATCGGTTTTATGGAGCATGCACAGATCTTACAGTAACTGCTTAAAACAGACTTAGTTAGTCGGATCGTAGGTGAGTATGTGGCCAACTCAAAATGAATGCTGAGGTTTTGCAACATCATCATCCTTTCGACAAGTCTGAAAAGAAGATTATCAGCAAATCTGAATAGAGTTCTGAAACGGATAAACAAACAAGGATGCTCAGTGAAGTAAGGAAGAGGGTTTTCGATAACTTTGGTAGCAATGGAGCATTCATCGACACCAGTGAGGATACGCTGGAGCTTAACACCATAATAACATCGACAGTATGGAACACTTTCAGAAAACTTGGGTCCATCAGCACAGACTCGCTCAGTGCAAATGTGGTTCCCAGAAAACTCTGTAGGTTGCTGTATCTCGTTAACAGAGTTAAAAAGTGTCTAGTGTCACCGCCCAGATCTTGAGGTGAAATCAAGAAGTGATTTGACCATTCAATCTGCCCTCTAAAGTTGTCCAACCGGTCACCAAAGAGAACAAGGATCCCAGATACACTTCAACTGCCGAACAAAGAAGAACCAAACCTCAACGTACCCGGAAACCTTGCAAAACGGTCACAGTTCGTGGTGATTCTCTCGGACATTCCTCTCAGTCTGTGAGACAAAAATTACAGGATACTCTGCAAGGAGTTGAACAGAAAGCCCGAACTCTGCAAAACGGAGCCACTGATGGTTAAATGGTTCACTCGAGGTAATGACTACATGCACCAAAATCATCCAATGACTGATTTGTGTACAGTTCACCAACACTGCCGACGTGGATGATGTTCTGATGGCTATTCACCTACTGCAATCAGATGATGATATAAGAATACTACCTGACACCATATTTTGAGCATAATCCCATCAGGGATATCCCTAAGGAGTCTTGCGAGACGTCCTTTCGCGGAAAAAATATCATTGTGCAAGTCGTGCTATAAAATATAAACCCTGAATACGCAGACTCTGGTATTTGGGAATGCAAGTTCATACAGATAAACAGGACAGGGAAGCTCACGCGTTTCAAATTGAAAGTATAAACTGCTTACGTATGAACACCACCTACATTCATCAAGAATCATACTCTTTATTCCCTAAACCACAACAGGAACCACCAGGCTTTTTACAAACGAACTAGTATTAACAGAGTATCAAGGCAATTCAAACAAGCCGGGAACCAATGCAAAAAGGTAATAAGAGAAGACAGGCTTCAGTATCAGACAAAACTAACCGTCAAATTTGTCTCCGCCCCTAATAGCTTACTGAGTCATGCAGCCTTTCTTCAACAAGCCGAAACCGGAGTTTTCCAACTACTATGTTCTAATATCCCGACCAGCAACGACCTTCTGGCAGAATAATACTGTCGGACAATTCAACCGACCCACACCAACTATATTGATGAAAGCTTCATTTTCAACTGCACAGGATCTATCGAAGTGAATCTGAGTGCTGACTTGATGTACCGGAAACCGAAGCACCTAAAAAACATATTTATTCTGGTGCGGATACAGTTCATTCTGCTTTACTGAGGGGAACAGCCTCAATCCTAGCAACGCCACTTAGAGTGATGTTCTTACACTCACAAAACCAAGACACATCCGAATGCAATCATATATCATAGAAGAGCCTAATTAAAGCATATAATAACGCAAGCCCGAATTTAGCATCCACAGCCTATCAGTATAGTTGATGAGCAACAAGATTTCTCAGTACGCTCCTGAAAACAGTGAGTGTGTAATTCACTTAGTATTGTTTGTTTGGATCTTCCCATCGATGTGTTTAGGACTGCAACTGGTCAGTCTCTAGTTGGCATATGTGCATACTGTGCGTATTGCCTCGATATACCTTAATTCACAAGCATGGTAAGCAGAGATGAATAGTGGCTAGCAGTGGAATCCAGGACGCGCGTTTCGTCCTATTTGGGACTCGTCAGCTGGATGTACCTGCATCTCAGAGTTGATGTTCACTCTGGGACTCGAACCCAGTACCCTCGCTTCAAACGCCATCGCGTTATCCACTCGGCCACTGAGTCCTGATAGCCACTTGCTTGTACGATGGGGTGAAGTTTAAATTCATTTAGTATTGTTTGTTTGGATCTTCCCATCTCCCCATCGCACAAGCAAGTGGCTATCAGGACTCAGTGGCCGAGTGGATAACGCGATGGCGTTTGAAGCGAGGGTACTGGGTTCGAGTCTCAGAGTGAACATCAACTCTGAGATGCAGGTACATTCAGCTGACGAGTCCCAAATAGGACGAAACACGCGTCCTGGATTCCACTGCTGGCCACTATCCATCTCTGCTTACCAAGTGACTGTGTAAGATAATAGTAGTAATAATAGTTTATTTCAAACAACAGATTGTTACATGAGGCATGCCGTTTTATGATCTACTTCGTTACTAGTACTACTCTAATAATAAACCTGATCCCGAAATTGTAGATTCGCCATGATGTAACTGCTCAATATATAAGATCTTACGTGGAAGTCACATCATTGTCTACACTGACTCATTGTGTCGTAACAACCACTAATATACGATGAAGAACACAATTAGGCTGGAGACAGAATAATATACTTAATATGAATAAGAGTGATAAGACAAAAACAGGAATGGCCACGCCTGCAAGGCTGAGGATTGTATGGCTCAGGTCTAATGCCACTATAATGATAACAGCTTCGGTGGTTATGTCTTTGACGGATACTGACTCTGACAAGATTATGGAACGATCCATAAATATTAAGGGATGCAAAAATCCATTTGACTCCCACTCAATACCGACAAGCTCAAGCTGAGATTGATCAAAATGCCTATCTAAATTTGGAAAGAAATTCAAAAGACATTCGCTTATAAACTTTATTTTCTGTTAGTTTACCCAGAAAAAAAATGCTAACTTCTTAAAATCTTTATTGATTTCATGAACCCAAAATAATTGAGACTCGACGACTCTTATTTGAGGATGGATCACACAGCAGTACGTCTTTATGTGCCCCAGAGGGTTGGTGTTTCGGGGTCGTGTTGTTGGGACCGTTTCATTTTTTGAAGTCAAGATAGTTTAACGAAGTCTCTAGCGAAGAATTGGTTTGAGCATCCCATTCACAAATGTAACGACAATTTTTACACCAGAAAATTTCTATACATCCGACGTAAACTGCCACATGCAATCTAAACGGTGAAATCCCTAAGTAGAGAACTTTTATTAAGAATAAGCTACAGATGGCTAAACACGGATCACAATAATTATTCCTGTGATACTTAAGCCACCTGCTGAGACCAAAACAACGGAACTACAAAAAATACGATTTGTTACGGCAAGGACAAGCTACAAGTACCTGTATGTGAGTTATATTAATGGCACAGAATGAACTAGAAATGTTCTACAGCTAGTTAGGACAATAAGGACACAACTGCTCTGCAAAGTATTTTTGCATCCGTCAGTACAAACCGTGAAAAAGGAAGCAGTAATGAACTGAACTTGAAACGAACAATGTAAACCGAAATAGACGACTGGACTCTGTTAACTGAAAAAAGCAGTTGCACTTACACTGCACGTTCACTTACAAATTTTCAGATGGTAAGTTATATGGAGACAATGAAAACTCGTAATTCTCTAAGAATGAGGGAACTCCGTTCTTTTACAGGGTGTCGAATGTTCCACATATCATTAAATATGGTTGGGTATTTCCTACCGAAAGTGCGGGCCAGGATACGCGTCTGAGATTTGTAGCCAGCCTGTTATTTCATGTCTAACATACATACGATATCAAGCGTCTTCGTTCATCTAGAAGGCAAGTGCTTCAAGTAAATCAATATTTTCTAGAGGTTTGTTTCGAACTCCAAATTTCACTTCAGTTGCCTTTTTTACACGGCAAGTCAGGGTGCGAAATATTGGCATTATCATACAAGACAATCAGAAAAATTCAT